ACAGCCATCTGCACGAAATAACGTTAATCGAGATTCATCGATGAAGAGCATGGACCTCCAACGTCTCATAGGAAAACATCTGGGCATATGTGCCGTCAGCCATTGCATACGACATGCTCGACGTTGCGGTGTTAGTGGTAAACCAACGTACTGTCGCCTTGCATGCAAATTAGCCTCACACAGTCTGTTGATCACTGTTTGGGGATGAATCCGATGGTTATGATTACCAATCGTATTCCTTGCCGTTTCAGCAGCCGTTAACCTCCTGTTACGCAAATGTGCCAGCCTAACAACCCGGTCTTGACGTCGCGACGTTACGCGTGGACGTCCTGATCTCGGCCAGTCATCGACTCTTCCTGTGGCGTTAAGACGTGAAACTAATCGACTAATAGTCGATTTGTGAACTCTGAATTGTCGAGCGACGTGGAGTTGCGTGCTCCCTGCCATAAGCATCGCGATAGCACGTCCTCTATCAGCCTGTGATAACCGTGGCATAATTGTAAAAGGAACTATTGTTTGGCGATGATGTGTCTCGATGTTAGTGATAAATTGATACTGGTTTGAATGAAAATGAACGCATATGTTTGTACAGGCATGGTTTTTGATGTTTTTACTGCGCCGGATGTGCATAGGTTTCTCGTCATACCTGGTTGATTTTGACCATTGGTTGTGCATAGGTTTCTCGTCATACCTGGTTGATTTTGACCATTGGTTAGGGTGATAGGCAGGGTGCACTTTTATTTCCGCGATTTTTATACAGCTATGTATATTTAATACAAAATTAATAACAATTTTCCAAGTTGCGTTTATTTTTCGTTTCAGTACATAAAAAAAAACTTTTTGTAGAAAATATCACCGCATACTTTGTTTGTTGTTTACAAATGTGTAGAAAAGATCGCTGTATACCGAGTTTTTAGTTTACAATTGTCTAGAAAAATCACTGTATACTGAACATAATACGACTTCTGTTTGAAACCTTCATTTGAACTTAGATAGTATTTTTTTTTATTTATCTTAAAAGTCTACCCTCAACAATTTTGTGTATGCAATCTTGTACTAGGATATTGACATGACAAGATTACATTGCTGATCAAAGCATGGAAAGAATACTGCATAAAGAAAACAAGATATAAGCATCTTTATCATGTTTTTATTTTTATTATTATCATTATTATTATTTTTCCATGATGTCTGTCCACATGGAATTTGTAAGCAATCTTGTGCATTCTTATACCACCAAAAGGATGGGTAAATGGAATCAAGTTGTCTAACTGTCCATCCATATGTTTGTCTGTCTGTGGACACATCTTGTCTAGACAACTCCCATGAAACTTTACAGTAATATTCGGGACAATGTGTAGATGTGCATGCACCATTTTCCCCTCGAAATATTTATTGCCATGGCAACTGGTCAATATAGACAGGTTTTGCATGTCGGTCAACTGCTAAACCTGTGGACCAATTTCAACAAAACTTCGCAGGAATATTAGGGAACATGTGCACATGCCGCTGTGTTTCAGAGGATGTTTCTGTGCAAAAGGTCACCATGGGGAGATAACTAAGGCTGTGGGTGTTGGGGGTATTAGTTATCATTTGGACTACAGTTTCAGTTATCCCTGGGCAATGTGGAGAGGATATAGTAATGATTTTGAGGATTGAATGTAGAGGTCACAGTACTTGCATGAGTACAATATGATTACCTTGTAAACGCATTGAGACCAATACAGTTAGTATACCTTAATCAAATTTGGAACATGTATCCCTTATGAATAAAATATCTTGCGACAAGTTTTAGAGAACAAAGAATATATAAACATGAAAAATTGGAACAAAGACAATATCTACTTGAAGATTCCCTGAAAAAGTACAAGGTGAATAAGACCAGGTTTTCCAGAAGAATAGGCATCTTCTATTTTAAGTTATGGTGACAAGTCATGTTTGTTTTAGAAAATTGGCACTCTTATGCAGTCATTTACAAACAATCTGGAAAATGAAGCTGTCCAATATTTGTATGTAGCATGTTATTTGCATGATGGTCTAACTAATGGTCTTAATCCAATAAGATATGCAGTCTTTAAAGTGATAACATGGTGTCCAAGATCAACATTCCCTACAATGTATCCAAAGAAATGGACAAATTCCCTATCATTGCATCTTGGAGCCTACTTGGGACATGTATTACAGAAGTAATGTGTACTATGCTTGTTATTTCTGATATCTGCTGGTCATTTTTTATGGGCTGCAATGATTTACTGCTTGCATATAGTTGGTTTCAGTATATAGCAAGCTAATAACAAAGAATTTATTTTTTAATGGTCTTAGCATACCAGTACTTTCATTTTATTTCTCTGGTGTGTAACTAAAGGTAAACAAATGTAACCAGTGATCATACTCTATTAATGATTGAACACCTTTGATTGATGTTGAGTAAGTGTACAGATGCCATTCTTTGTTTGATGTTGTGCATATCTACACTGAAATTCCCTTTGGCATTTTGACTGATGCTAGTCAGTGCAGTTGATTACACTTGACATTTCCTTGATTTGTTCTATTATAAATTAAGGAATTTCTACTTAGGTAATAGAATCCTTAATTGCAGTTAAATCTCACTGAAACTGAATGTTACATTTCAATTAAGTTTACCAAACTTCATTTGAATATCCAAATATATGTATCTTTAATTTAATATTCTAATTTTACAGGTCAACTTAGAACTAGTTTTAAATCTAAATTTAGATGCTGGAAACTGGGAAATTTCCAGTTTGACATCTTATTTCTGGTAATTCAGTAAAGGGCCTGTTTCCAGTAATGTTAATTCTCCATAGGAGCCTGCCCCCGTATAATTTCTTATCTAGCTCAACTACTGTTTTTTTCTTTTCCGAAAAATAATTTTACACCTTTCCGACACCCAGATTTCATAATTTCAGTGAAAATGTATTTTTATAAAGTTGTCAATTTCAGCATCAAAGACATAAGTTCGTAAATAAAAGAAGGTTATCTCGAAATTGTAATTCGCAACATAGTATAAATTTCTTTTGATAAATATTTCCAAAACATCGAGTTTATTCATAAAACATAAAAAAAATATATTCTCGGATGAAAATGCACTTGCAGAGACACAATTATGAAGAAAAATGCCATAAATTTGCAATTTTCTCCCGTTATGTAGTTTTGGATGCAAATTTCCATCAGAAAATCAGATAGAGCTTTACTTGTTTCATATGTGTACCAAAAATCAGCTAATTCCATGTGGTGGAACGTTCTCATATCGCCACCTGAATGTGGTTGTAAATTGAAAGAAAAGGGTAAATGAGTAACAACCTTGTCTGAAACCCTATTATATAGCTTATTATATACAAACTTTTATATTGAATATCAGAGCGGATATTTTCATGACAGTTTTATGATGTAAAAAAAAAAAATAAATAAATAAAGTACTGTTTCCCCGTCTCGATCTTGATTACTTGAGAACCTCTGGCTCCTGGTTAAATCGCCGAACATTTAAGTGATGACGGCGACTATGAGGTGTGGCTTTATCAGCACTCCCCAGACCTTCTCCGATGTCAAATACATTCTCGACACAAAAGCCAAACGAAATATAACGTTTGGATACGGTTCACCGTTTCACCCGATGTTGAGGCCCCAATAAAGGACTACTACTGCCAGTGCCCAGTTGGAGAGAGAACGATGGGAATGTGTGCGCACATCTCCAGTATCTTGTACTACCTTGGGTATTACAGGACGCTGGAAAACCCTCGACCATTACAACCACAGGTAAAGAAATTCCGACAAAACTTGAATAGTTTTCCATGCGGCAACAGAGTGCATATGTCGAAAGTATGTTTTGGGCTCTATATGAAAGATCCCCGTTACCATGTGACTAACCAAACTTATAAATATAGGTATTATACAATCGCCCGTAGCTATGAACACTCCCGTAAATGTGAAAACCAACCAAAATCACGTTTTGTTTGTTGTTCTGTCTATTTGTCAGCCAATGTCTTCAACCACGGGGACTTACGAAGTAGCCATCTTGGATTTTTTTATGAAAAAGTGTTTCTCTCACTTTTTTTCATATCTGTGTACATATTCTCAACATACTGAGTAAATACTCTCGTTTTTTTGTTAATTATCTAAAGAAAGTCGAAAATCAGCAATTCAACCATAGGCTAATTCAACCCAACATTTGAAAATGTTCCACCACTTACATTTTGATGATTTTTCCTCTCATCAATAGCATATTACGTACTATTTGATAGGATAAAAATTGGTTTGCATCCAACGCCCATAAAAGGGTGTCTAAAATGTTATCATCGAAAATGGCATTTTTGAGATTGTTTCTTCCATAAAACAGCCAAATGGTGCGATGGAAACATGATTTTTTGTCACAATCATGACCTGAATGTATTCTTTACGGTGACTATCATTTGATTAGATTTTCATTAATATTTTACATAACATGCACATTTTATCGACACTTAGCTTCTGAAAGGTACAACTTTGAGGAGCCATAAAAAACAAACCAAGTGACCTAAATCTCTATACTTGATAGATTTGTGACCACAACGGCATGGGCAATGCACCACCAACAGGAAATTTGAATCAGAGAAGGGGCCGTTTTGGAAACCGGCCCTTTAATCTAAAATCACATTTTGTGTGTATTTGGTCATATAGAATTTGCATGCACTGAATTTCCTATAACCCATTAACTAACCTCTGCTTGTATGTTATATTGTCATCTGTTTTTCTGTGAATTGTAAAGTGGGCAGATTTTGAATAAAAACTGCCTCATCTTTACATTAGCATATATCACAAATAGTTTGCAGTGTGTTAAGTAAATCTGTTTGCACTAGTATGTATGATTGCACAGTTCTATTTTGGATTGGGGTATAATACACAATGCTACATGTTTGCCAAACACAATACCTCCAAGCAAGGAGCTCACCATAATAGTTGCAGTAAGGAAGTAAGATTTTGTCAGTCTTTAGTTAACACAAAAATAATTGTTACGAATCTTCAGCTTTATTATGAAGCAATAATTTGTTTTCATATCAATTCAGGGTGTGTTATTATTCACATGGCTCCAGAGAATTTTTCTTGACAAAATTTTCACTTGGTGTCTTCCAGCTGAAAATGAAAAAAAAAAAAAAAAAAAAATGAGAAAAACAAGAATGTATGTGAAATATTAAATGTGTGATGCAATCCATCTATAAACCCTTGCTGCTGTGTCTTTTGCTTCAGTGTGCACTGCTGGGTGCTTTTCACATTTTATGATTTAACTGGGTTAACTTCAAACTTAACTTAGCATCAAAAATATTTTTATTGAACAATTCATTTAATACATAATGACTGATGTTATCGCTGCATATATCTACACACCTGGAATTTGTAATAAAGAGGAGAGAGAACCAGCAACACTGATTACAGGAATGTTCAATTTTTCCAAAACATCAGTTGCTATGACAGTTTACTTCATCTCGTTTAAAATCCAAAGTCTTTTTTATTTTTTTGCAATGTACATAACCCATGGCCATTCATTAACCTGAAAAGAATAAAACATTTTGATTTAAATGATGAATAATTATCTGAGCCAACATTCTTTAGCTGTTTGGTTTATCTATTCTTTTATTTATTTATCTATTTATTTATTTACTTTGATATGAATACAAAAAAAGTCGTAGTGAAAACTCCTGTACAAGTGGTATAAAATTTGTATGGCACTTCTATAGCGTTCTATAGCTTTCTTGGAAATGTTTACTTCATATATACAGATGAGAACAGTTTCTTAATAAATCAAATTTAAATTTAAAACACAATCATTCATTAAAACTTCAGTAAAACTGAAGTTGATATCTTGCAATTTAATATGAAATCCTTGTTCACATGTCATCACAAGTTATTTAATAATTAAGATAACTTTATAAGATATTGACTTCAGTTTACATTATTTTTATAGTTTTTAATTGGGAAAAGTAATCATGGGTGAGAGGCACTTGTTTTGAAATTAGTTAGGTGTTGGGGTTAAATCCCCATTTTTGTAATTAATATTCCATATACTAAATGTTCCATGAATAGTGGGGTTGCTTAAAAAAATAAAGATAAATTTGTAAAAGCTCAAACAGAAATTGGAAACAATTTAACAAATGATAACTCATTATCAGTTCATTTCAGATATTAGACAATTTGTAAAAGCACAAACAGAAATTGGAAACAATTTAACAAATGATAACTCATTATCAGTTCATTTCAGATATTAGACAATTTGTAAAAGCAATTTAACAAATGATAACTCATTATCAGTTCAGTTCAGATATGACATCTTCCATATAAAAGTGCACCACTGTCTGTCAACATGTGTAAAGTCATTTATTTCTGCTAGTTAAGGTTTTTAATTGAAATTATTATTTCATGATGTTGTTATCTTCCATTTTTATCAGTAAAAAACACTTTCAATGAAGAAAAAATCAATGCATATAATAATAAATGAATTTTGATTTTGATTTAATTGGTGTTTTTGACAGATTTTAACTCCTTGACAAACAGACATGGCAAATGATGATGTATTTTTAAATAATTGGTTTTGTTGTATGCCACCTCTTTTATGCAAAACGTATATCTTGTATCACATATTTTATGTTTGTGAGCCTTAAACTGTTATTCTTTTATACACAATAAAAGAAATTAAGAATATAAATTGGAAATGATGATGTGTTTTTGTGTATATATTCAAACTTCATGACGTTTTTGCTCACTTTTAGAGATGGGCTGTGC